TTGATTTAAAAGGGCCCAGGATTCTGGCTACTACCAGAGCCCCAGTCCCTTCAAATTTTTGCCAGAGCCCTGCGGGACGGGACACAACCCAGGCAGCGTTGAAGGGTTGGTTGGAGGAGGCTAGCCCACAGCCCCACACTTTATGCCTGAGGTCAGGGCCGGCCTGAGCCATTTTGGTGCCCTGGGGAGCAGATTGCGTAACTTATTTCGAGCTAAGGACGCTATGTAGATGCTCCCTAAAGGTTTTATTTGGCATGACTGCACCCAATTCTACTGCCATAACAGGGATTTATGACTGAATCAAGCATTTTAACACTTTAAAGGGTAACTTTTAAAAATGCATTTCAACATTTTTACAATTTTGTACTGTTCAATTTTTTACTCTGCCGTGTTAATTTGTGCAAAAGCTTTTTGATTGTTTTTGACTGTTTTTATTTACTTACCTATTTTTTTCAAAAAATAACACAATTGGTAGCCGTTTTTAAACCCTCTGCTTTAAGCTTGTTTTGTACAGGGCATGCACTTATTTTCTTAACTTTGTATACTTGGCCTGCACAGCTGTGCTTCCTAAATACAGTTTCTGACGTGTTGCTGCTTTCGCCCTTGGATTTAAGACAATAGATAACATACTTGTTTGAATAATTTTTTTACCTGGGGTTGCTTGGGTCCTTAACTCAATTAAGTTTTTTTAAGTAAAAGGAAAATGTACATGCTTTATTGAAATGATTGTAGTTTTCAAAAATACAGTGTTATTTTTACGAAGTTAATTTTTATATTAGATTTTTTTTAAAAAGGGTTTGTTAAAAAAATTCCGTTTAAATTGTGTTAGTAATTTTTTTAAAACGGGAATTCCATTTAAATGAATATTTTTTCTTCAACCTGATAAACTCTTATCACTTGCTATGTTTTTAACAAAAAAGGGCTATTGTCAATTTCATTGCCAATAACATTTTCTTCTAGTTTTCAAATCTTAAGTATTGATTTAGCTGGACCAAAAGTGAGCAATACTCCAAATTCCTCCATTGTATCTCTTTGCTGAAAGGTTAATTGCAAAGCCATCCTATGGCAGGTTCATCCTATTTTTCTGGCTCATCTTGGTTCAGTCTCTTTCAACATTCGCAAAGTTATGTCAGTTGTGAGGACTGTACGTGGTTTGGTGATTCTGTCTCTTTTCTGTTTGGTTTGAGAAGCAATCCCATTCCAGGCACATCCTATTTCCCTGTCACAACCAAACCCTGACCTTGCTTTGAGTTATGACAAGGGGAAATTGTACACCGAATTTGGTGCTTCTAGTTCTTACCAGATAGGAGTTCTTCATCAAACAGACAGACAGACTCTCTAAAATATACAATAGATTATAGGGTAACATAACATGCGTATACACACTGTATTAGATGTGTTTTGCATCATTTACTGATGTACACAAGCATATTAATGAGGTTGAATTTGTCATTTTTAAATGAGCCCTTGCAGTGTGTAAGACCAGTCTCCTATAAGAGGTGCAGTCATCTAGACATTGAGAACCACAGAACTACACCTTCTGGGCTCCCAATGAAGGGATCCGACGTGAGTCATTGCACGACATGTTGGAGTAGCCTTCAAAACCTCTTCTACGTAGAATCATAGAATCATAGAGCTGGAAGAGACCTCAGGAGGTCATCAAGTCCAGCCCCTTGCTCTAGGCAGGACCAATCCCAACTAAATCAACCCAGTCAGGGCTTTGTCAACCGAAGACTTAAAAACCTCTAGGGATGGAGATCCATCACCTCCCTAGGGAACCCATCCCAGTGCTTCACCACCCACCTAGTGAAATAGTTTTTCCTAATATCTAACCTAGACCTCCCCCACTGCTCCTTGTTCTGCCCTCGGTCACTACTGTGAAGTAACTTGAGACCATTGCTCCTTGTTCTGCCATCTGTCACTACTGAGAACAGCCTCTCCCCATCCTCTTTGGAACCTCCCTTCAGGAAGTTGAAGGCTGCTATCAAATCCCCCCTCGCTCTTCTCTTTTGCAGACTAAATAAGCCCAAATCCCTCAGCCTCTTCTCATAGATCATGTGCTCCAGCCCCCTAATCATTTTGGTTGCCCTCCGCTGGACACTCTCCAATGCGTCCACATCCTCTCTATAGTGGACGGCCCAGAACTGGACACAATACTTCAGATGTGGCCTCACCAGAGCTGAATAAAAGAGAATAATCACTTCTCTGGATCTGCTGGAAATGCTCCTCCTAATGCACCCTAATATGCCATTCGCCTTCTTGGCTACAATGGCACACTCTTGACTCATATCCATCTTCTCATCCACTGTAACCCCCAGGTCCTGTTCTGCAGAAATGTGACTTAGCCATTCGGTCCCCAGCCTGTAACAATGCTTGGGATTCTTCCGTGCCAGGTGCAGGACTCTACACTTGTCCTTGTTGGACCTCATCAGATTTCTTTTGGCCCAATCCTCTAATCTGTCCAGGTCACTCTGGAAACCATCCCTACCCTCCAGTGTATCTACTTCTCCCCCTAGCTTAGTGTCATCTGCAAACTTGCTGAGGGTGCAATCCAGCCCCTCATCCAGGTCATTAATAAAGATGTGGAACAACACTGGTCCAAGAACCGTTCGTTGGGGCACTCTTCTAGAAACCAACCCCCAACCAGCCATCAAGGCATTGATCACAACTTGATTCCCCAAGGACTCAGTTCAACTCCAGTCGCATCACTCTTGATTTCTTTATTTGGCATACAGCAAAGCTACAGAGTTACACTCAGAGGTGGGTGTACCAGGCATCCCAAGTTACAAGTGTACATATCCTTACACATCGGATGGCGTTCTCGGTACTTTGCATTCCGTTCTAGGACTGGCTTGGTTACTTTGCAAAGACCGAACCCTGTGCGGCATGCCCAGTCCATACTCGCTTTCCTCTTTACCCTTCCGACTTTTCCTGTCCTTTTTTGTCTTATTCTTAGAGAAAGGTTCTCTGGGTGTTCTCCCTCTTATCATAACTAGCTCAAACGTTGTCTTCAACTTAAATGGCTGTGCTGCAGCCCTGTAGTGCTTTAATGAAGACAGTCTATGCTGACAGGAGAGAGAGCTCTTCCATTGGTGTGGTTAGTAGAGATGTAAAATCCCACCCAGTCAGTTAACCATTAGGCTGATCTAATGTTTAACCAGTTAACTGACTAAGCAGGACCCAACTGGGGAACCGCACCGAGAAGCCCCTAGACCGCGGGGCTCTCTTCCCCAGTCCTGCACTAGGGTCGTTCTGTGTGCTCCCAGCTCCCAACCCCCACAGGGCAGCCTCCATTGGTTCCTGGATAACTGGAACCAATAAGCATTACCCATGTAGTGGGTGCTTACTGGTTTACTTTTCACATCCCTAGTGGTTAGTCCACTTCTGTGAGAGGCGGTAGCTGTGTCAGCAGGAGAAACTTTCCTGCGGATATAATGCTGCCTACATCAATGCTTAGGCTGGTATATATACCTCACTCAGGGGTGTGAATTATTCACACCTCAGAACAACCTACGTATACCACAGCAATTGTGTTGAGCAGTGATGGGCAACTAAGGCAAGTGAGCGAGCTGCACGAGCATCCCTTCTTCATCTCAGTGGGCTGCAAGATGGTCACTACCAAGACGATCTCTCATGGGCCTTTGCGGTGCTGGTAAGTCATCCCCACAGATCTGGACATCATGATAACGCAATGACTTTCAGCACTCACCTACAAAAACAAAGGCCAAGTCTACACTAGACCCAGAAGGTCGGGTTAATGTGTGCAGCTCCAACTACGTAAAATTATCTAAAGCCAAATGTGGCACCATCTATACAGAGGGAGGCCAACAGGAGCAAATGGGATTACCGGTGCCCTCAGCATTCGATTTAGCGGGTCTTAACTAGACCTGCTACATCAAACACCAGAAGATCGATTTCCCATGCCACAGGTGGAGACATGGCCAAAGTTCCCTAAATAAGAGTACGTCCATTAGGTGAGTTGGGAGGAGATACGCGGAGGCAGGTGAGGGAATGAGCTGGAGGGAGACGAGATGTAACAAGATGGGAGGCCAGGTGGGACAGGATCTGAGAGCTGATTTTATTTCCAGTTGTTTTTTTAAGATACCCCCAAAGGGAAAATTGTGGGAGGCAGAGATCCCCTTCTCTCCTTATTTTGTCCATCAGTTGAGCCCTAATCTCCGTCACACCAGTTTTGGTTTATTCATTTCCGTCTCCACATCCCGTCTATCAGTGGGGGGCAGAAACATCCCCAATGGGTCACATGAGGGGCAGCAGGGATCCCCACATCCCTAGGTAGGGAGGATTCAAAGCCCCACTAAAAAAGGCAACCCCCATGAATCACAGCACGTATGAGAAGAATTTGATGCTGATGGGCATCGTCACCTCTATTTTCCTCCTGCTTCTGTCATTCCCCCACTCCTGCCCTCCTTCCCAGTTTCCTACCCCTTCTTCCCCCCATGTCTCTCTCTCCCCCTCCCATCATCCCCTTCTCCCCACCCTGTAGCCCTGAGCCACCAAACATCTTCATCCAACACCCCTGGTCCACTAGGGGGCGCTGCATCAGCCCATGACCTGGTGTAATGTTGTTCCCAGGTCAGTTTCAATCTTGCTGCAGGGCTGTAACGCCTCGCACGAATCAAGCCGTGTTGGGTCTGCTTTCCCCATCCTGCGCCACCCCAAAATTCCCCTCCCAGCAAGCATTTGCATGTCTAATTTCTTCGCCTCCTCCCCCACCAAAAAATACCAACCCTGACCCATGCATCTGATGAAACAGGTTTTTGCCAACAAAAGCTTCTGCCCAAACAAATCTGTTCATCTTTAAGGTGCCACGGGAGCTGTCGTTTTTTACGGATACGGACTCACACGGCTCCCCCTCCGAAATGCCTCTCCTCCAGTAACGTTCTCTCTTCTCAGGGCATGGAAGAAAGTGCGGATCCCACACCGGGTCAAAGCCCTGACTGCAACCGCTCCCGCATGCCAGCTTTCACTTGTGTGTGGACTTTGTGGTGTTTAATCAGGTGCGAATTCTGGCTGAAGCCTCTTCCGCAGAGGAGGCATTTATAGGGTCTTTCCCCTGTGTGGATCCTCCGGTGGGTAATGAGGTTTGAGCTGAGGTTGAAGCTTTTCCCGCAGTCGAGGCATTTATAAGGTCTCTCTCCCGTGTGGGTTCGCTGGTGTCGAATGCAGGTGGAGCTGTCACTAAACCCTTTCCCGCATTCCGGGCATTTGTAGGGTTTCTGTCCCGAATGGATTCTCCGGTGCTTAATCAGGGCGGAGTTATCGCTGAACATTTTCCCGCATTCCGGGCATTTGCAGTTTTTTTCCCCCGTGTGGATTTTCTGGTGCGTGGTCAGGTTGGAGCTCTGAATGAAACTCTTCCCGCACTTGGGGCACTTGTGGGGTTTGTCCCCCGTGTGGATCCGCTGGTGCACGATGAGGCTCGAGCTCCGGTTGAAGCTTTTCCCGCAGTCGAGGCATTTGTAGGGCCTCTCGCCCGTGTGCGTGCGCTGGTGCAGAATCAGGTTGGAGCTCTGGTTGAAGCTTTTCCCACACTCAAGGCATTTGTAGGGCTTCTCTCCCGCGTCGGGGGTCAGATAGCGACCAAGTTGTTTGCGCACTCTAGGCATTTGTAGGGCTTCTCTCCCGGGTCGGGGGTCAGATAGCGACCAAGTTGTTTGCTCTTGTTGACTCTTTTCTTGCATTCGGGGCCTGTTTCTTTTTTCCCTCTGGGCACTGAGGGTTCCAAGATGTCCTTTCCACCTCCACTAGAATTCATGGATGGACTCCCTTTCGTCCCTGGCTGCTTTCCCTGCTGCCTTTCGGACCCGTGCGGATTCTCAGAGGGTTTCCCCTGCTCGAGACTGGATGTAAGGTCTTCTTTGGAGCCTCTGGATGATACCCCACAAAGTTCTGGGTCCTTACAGCCTACTGGCCGTGGATTTTCTTCCACCTCCTCACTTACTATCTTGTCACCCACTGGAATAAAGAGAGAACCCAGACAGAAATCATCCCTTCTGCCAGGATAAAAGAAAGGGGTGTAGCAGAGAGGAAAGACACAGCACAATAACTATGGGGGAGACTAAGAAAGTGGAAAATACCTATGTGTAAATTTCCCTTCTCTACAGTGTGAAAGGAGCAGGGGAACTCTCTCTGGCCAATGCTCTCTCTGGCCTTATCTCTATTTTTTTGGCGGAAGAGGATATGCAAATGGCACACTCATTTGCATATCTTCTTCCGATTCTTTTTGCGGAAGAGGTTTTGCCGATAAAAAGCCCCGTTTAGATGGGGCCATTTGTCAGAAAAAAAGCCCTTTTTTACAAGTTCCTGTAAACCTCGATTTTTGAAAAATAAGGGATCTTGCAAAAAAGGTTTTTTTTTCCGACAAATGGCACCGCCTTCCGCAAAAAGAATCGGAAGGAAATATGCAAATGAGCGTGCCATTTGCATATCCTCTTCCTCAAACCCCTCAACAACCCCCCAAAAAACGTAGCGTAGACATAGCCTGAGTCCCCTCCCGGGCAGAAGCCGACAGCGGCGCGGGGAAACAAGTTATTTCCCCCGTGGGAGTTTCCAGGATCCGATGCCTGGAGGTGGGGAGAGGGAGGGACATGCTGCCGAGCCCAGAGCCCTCCCTGCGGCGGGAGCTCGTCCCAGGAAGGTAGGGGAACTGAGATGCCACGTGTGTCTGTGCGTGAGAAGGGAAACGTGCTGCTTCTACTTAAACAAAGCAGACATCAATTGTCAATTATGTGTTAAGTGGCGATGGGTCTGTTAGCATCAGGAAGGTATCTTTGCACAGATGTGACCCATTGGTGTTGCACCAGGGGGATGAAAACTGAGGCAGTAATGGTTCATGACAATTGCGCATTTGTTCCTAGCACCATTGAATGTGTTATGTCTGGTCTCTCCCCCGTAGGGCCTTTCCCTGGGATGTAACTGTCTGGGTAGTTATCTTTATGATGGCCTTCTTCTGATGGGCTAAGCAGGGGGGAAGAGAGAGCGCCGGGTAACCATGAAGGTTACCTTTGGCATAGGTGTTCGTGTGCCTGTTCCAGACTTGAATTTTAGAATAGGGGTTCTTAACAGAATAATCATAGCCTGCCTCAGAAATTTTTACCCTACACCTGAGAATCTCACACAGGATCGAGGGACTGTGGGACCCATTCCTGTCCAGGCCACCTGAGCAGGGAAGAACCTGACCCGTGTCGGACACGCAGACCCCACGGCTCCTAATCCCCGAGGGGCCAGGACGCCCTTACCCAGCGAGGTCACCGCCTCGTCGTTCTCCTGCATGACGTCCCTGTAGAGGGCTCTCTGAGTGGGAGCGCCCCCAGCCCTGGGTGAAATACACAGCCACGTCCTCGAAGGTCACCAGCCCTGAAACAACAAGAGTCCCCCGCTCAGCCCTTGCCACGATCCCACTGCTCAGGTGGCAGAAGGACTGATCAAATGAAAGCTCTTGAGCAGCAAAATCCCTGCCCTGGATCTGGCTCAGAGCAGGTAGGAAGCATCTGGGTGGGGATGAAGAAAGAACTTCTTGTCCCTTCCAGCCAATGGAGGAGGGCAGGGGCCTTCTCCTTTATCACGTAACAGACAGAGATCTATCTATCTCAGAGCTGGAAGGGACCTTGAGAGGTCATCAAATCCAGTCCCCTGCCCTCACGGCAGGACCAAGCACCATTCCTGACAGATTTGCTCCAGATCCCTAAGTGGCCCCCTCAAGAATTGAACTCACAGCCCTGGGTTTAGCAGGCTAATGCTCAAACCACTGAACTACCCCACCACAGTGGTATAGCCTGCAGGGTCTGGAGACAGGAATCCCAAATCCCAGCAGCTGGGGGCGAGGGGTTGGGGCCTCTCCCCCAAGCCTCACTGCTGGGTTCCCCCTTCATCTTCCAGAGCATCCCCTGGCTAGTAGGTTCCGGCTCCACCAGGAGTTGGGTCCTTTTTCCCCAGCCCTGTTCCAGAAAGAGAATTTCTCTTCCCCGCAAGGGGCTGGTTCTGAAAATTAGGTCCCAGGCAGGACGCATCCCAGGTGGTGTGTCACAACCTGCCCCCTTCCCTTCCTCCTCCAGCGTGTGCCCCACCCTAGTACGCATCCACCGGCCGCTCCCGGACAGTCCTCCGCCAGCGCTGGGTCGGCTGCCCCTGGGGATGGGGAAGAGGGAGGGACTGGCAGTGAAACCTGCTCAGGGTTTGGAAGTGGTTCTTCCCCTTCCCCCTCACCGTTCCTGCTCCGTGCGCCTCCCCTGTACTGCAAGCACGGAGGCAGATTGGACCCTTCTCCTCATACCTCAGCGACAGCCCTCTCCACCTGCCCCGGCTCACCCCTCCAGCACCCCTGCACCTAGGGGCGTGCAGAAGACGGCTGGAGATCAAAGGCCACACAAACAGTGGCATGACTGGTTAGGCTAGTGCGTGGGTCGCCCGTGTGGCCCTTCTTCATCTTAGTAGGCCACAGGATTCTCGTAACCAAGACGGAATCCTGGGACAGGGTAGTTTTGCTACCCGTGCTCGTGCACCTAGAATTTGCAGGGAGGTGCCGACCGAACTGGAGCAGCACTGTGGATGGATGCAGATGGAGTGCACTGCTCTCACAGTCAATGCTGTGTGCAATCAGCACGCCCCTCCCTTCACATGCATGTCACTTTAGTAACACTGGTAGGAAAAAAACCCGGCATGGATGGAAATCAGTGGAATCTGGCCACCCTGTACATGGGCAACAGTGAACAAAATGCCTCGAGGGCCACACACAGAACCCCAATGGGCCACAGGGTTGCCCACCACTTGCTTAGCCTCTCCTCTTGTCCATGTATTAGGGCAACTTTATTCCTGAGCCATCCCAGCCAGTTATTTCCAGCTCCAGGAGGAGCGGGGGGCAGAGTTAAGATGAATTTTGTTCAAAACTGACATCACAAGGGATTACATCCCCTACATCCCCAGGCTCAGATTTCTTCTGCCAAGTTTTACATCTGGAAACGTTATACTGTGCTACCGCTACACACTGCTCCTTCATTCCAAGGGTCCTCTCCCCAGAAGCGCAGTCCTTGCTGATAAATAGGGCAGTTGTTCTTTGTAAGCCCAGTGCAGAGAAATCCAGTCACCGCAGCTCCACTCTGGATTTAAGAACCTAAGTAGGACCATGCAGGGTCAGAGCAATGGTCCATCTACCCCACTGTCCTATCTTCTGATAGTAGCCAATGCCAGCTGCTTCAGAGGGAATGAACAAAACAGGGAAATCCTTGAATGATCCATTCCCTGTTGTCTATTTGTAGTTTTGGCAAGAGATTTAGGGACATCTAGACCATGGGTTTACATTCCTGAACATCTTGGCTAATAGCCACTGATGGAGGTATCCTTCAGGAACTTATTTAATTCCTTTTTGAACCCCTTTATAGTTCTGGCCTTCACGACATCCTCCAGCAAGGAGTTCTGCAGGTCGACGGTGTGACGAAATACTTCCTTTTGTTTTGTTTTAAAACCCTGCTGCCTATTCACTTCATTGGGTGATCCTACTTCTTGTGTCACGCGAAGGGGGTAAACAAGAATTCCTTATTCACTTTCTCCACAGCAGTCTTGACTGTATAGACTTCATTCATACCCTTTCTCTCCTTAGCTCTTTTCCAAGCTAAGCAGCCCCAGGATTTTTCGTCACTCCCCATATGGAAGCTGTTCCATACCACTACTTTTTTTTTTTTGGGCTGCTCTTCTCTGTACTCTTTCCAACGCTAATGTATCTTTTTTGAGATGTGGTGACCAGAACTGCAAACAGGATTAAAGCCGTGGGCGTACCATGGTTTTATAGACAAGCCATATGATATTTTCCATCTTGTTACCAATTCATTGTCTAATGGTGCCTCATTTCCTGTTAGCTTTTTTGATGGCCACTGCCCAGTCAACAGATGTTTCCAGAGAACAAACCACAAAGTCTCTTTCTGAGTGGAAACAGCTAATCTGGGAGCCCATCTTTGCCTCTGTCTAGTGGCAATTATGCTCCCAAAGTGCATTACTTTGCATTTATCAGCTTTGAATTCCAGCTGACATTATGTAGCCCAGTCACCCTGTTTGGTGAGGTCCCTTTGTAACTCTTGGCAGTCAGTCCTGGATTATTCCCTTTATTTGGTGCACAGAATCATATAGAATAATAGAACACTAGAACGGGAAGGGATCTCGAGAGGTCATTGATTCCAGTCCCCTGCCCTCATGGCAGGACCAAGCACCTTCTAGATCATCCCTGACAGGTGTCTGTCTAACCTGCTCTTAAATATCTCCAGAGATGGAGATTCCACAACCCCCCTAGGCAATTTATTCCAGTGTTTAACCACCCTGACAGGCAGGAATTTCTTCCTAATGTCCAACCTAAACCTCCCTTGCTGCAATTTAAGCCCATTGCTTCTTGTCCTATCCTCTCTCTCTTCCCTGTGACACCCTTTTAGATACAGTGGGTCCTCGCTATACTTTCCAAAAAACTTTCCAAAAAACTTGGACTTATAGTGAAACAACAAAGCAAGGAATTTTTTTCCTATGGCTAACTTTCATTTAAGCAAACTGGGGGGAGTGTTTTGCACAACTTATAGCGAGGAACAAGCAGACTAACAGGGGGAGGAATAGCTCAGTGGTTTGAGCATTGACCTACTAAACCCAGGGTTGTGAGTTCAATCCTTGTGGAGGCCATTTGGGGCAAAAATTCATCAGTGATGGTACTTGGTCCTGCTGTGAAGGCAGGGGGCTGGACACAATGACCTTTGGTCCCTTCCAGTTCTAGGAGATAGGCAATCTCCATTAATTTTCTTTTTTAAATATCATCAGTTCCTACAAACATCGACAACTTTAGTGTGAAACGGATGTTTCTCAGTCTTCTCCTTTCCAAACTAAACAAGCCCAGTTCCTTCAGCCTTGCCTGGTAGCTCTTGTTTTCTAGACCATTAATCTTTTTTTTTTTTCATCTGGAGTATTGCATCCAATTATGAGCCCCCCGCTACAGAAAGGACATGGGCGCACTGGAGAGAGCCAAGTGGAGAGCAACCAAAATGATTAGGAGACTGGAACACGTGACCTATGAGGAGAGGCTGAGGGATTTAAAGCAAGGAATTTTTTCCCTATGGCTAACTTTCATTTAAGCAAACTGGGGGGAGTGTTTTGCACAACTTATAGCGGGGAACAAGCAGACTAAGAGGGGGAGGGATAGCTCAGTGGTTTGAGCATTGCCCTACTAAACCCAGGGTTGTGAGTTCAATCCTTGTGGAGGCCATTTGGGGCAAAAATTCATCAGTGATGGTACTTGGTCCTGCCATGAGGGCAGGGGGCTGGACACAATGACCTTTGGTCCCTTCCAGTTCTAGGAGATAGGCAATCTCCATTAATTTTTTTTTTTAAATAATGCATCAGTTCCTACAAACATCAACAACTTTAGTGTGGAACGGATGTATACCAGGGCAACTTATAGCAGGGACCCTCTGTACTGGAAAACCGCTGTCATGTCCCCTCTCAGTCTTCTCCTTTCCAAACTAAACAAGCCCAGTTCCTTCAGCCTTGCCTCGTAGCTCATGTTTTCTAGACCATTAATCTCTTTTTTTTTCATCTGGAGTATTGCATCCAATTATGAGCCCCCCGCTACAGAAAGGACATGGGCGCACTGGAGAGAGCCAAGTGGAGAGCAACCAAAATGATTAGGAGACTGGAACACGTGACCTATGAGGAGAGGCTGAGGGGTTTGGGGTTGTTTAGATGCATCAGTTCCTACAAACATCAACAACTTTAGTGTGGAACGGATGTATACCAGGGCAACTTATAGCAGGGACCCTCTGTACTGGAAAACCGCTGTCATGTCCCCTCTCAGTCTTCTCCTTTCCAAACTAAACAAGCCCAGTTCCTTCAGCCTTGCCTCGTAGCTCATGTTTTCTAGACCATTAATCTCTTTTTTTTTCATCTGGAGTATTGCATCCAATTATGAGCCCCCCGCTACAGAAAGGACATGGGCGCACTGGAGAGAGCCAAGTGGAGAGCAACCAAAATGATGAGGGGACTGAAACATGACCTATGAGGAGAGGCTGAGGGATTTGGGTTTGTTTAGTCTGCAGAAGAGAAGAGTGAGGGGGGATTTGAGAGCAGCCTTCAACTTCCTGAAGGGAGGTTCCAAAGAGGATGGAGAGAGGCTGTTCTCAGTGGTGGCGGATGGCAGAATGAGGAGCAATGGGCTCAAGTTACAGCGGGGGAGGTCTAGGTTGGATATTAGGAAAAATTGTTTCATTGGAAGGGTGGTGAAGCACTGGGACGGGTTCTCTAGGGAGGGGGTGGAATCTCCATCCCTAGAGGTTTTCAAGTCTTGGCTTAACAAAGCCCTGGCTGGGATGATTTCATTGGGGTTGGTCCTGCTTTGGGCAGGGGGTTGAACTTGATGACTTTCTGAGGTGTCTTCCAATTTTAGGATTCTAAGACCGACTATCCTGCATTATCTGAAAACTTTGCCACCTCACTGTTTGCCCCTTTTTCCAGATCATTTATGAATATGTTGAACAGCACCGGTTCCATTACAGACCCTTAGGGGACTACACCCTTTACCTCTCTCCATTCTGAAAACTGACTTTTTATTCTTGCCCTTTCTTTCCTGTCTTTTTTAACTGCCGGT